TGGGGGCACTGCAGGGCTGTTGTGCCAGCAGAGGCTGGTGCAGGGGATTTGGGGGCTCCCCGGCTGTGTGTGGCCAGTCTGTGACGCTGAGCTCCATTGAGCCCTGCCGGGCACTCTTTGTCCAGCTCCGTTTCTGTCTCGCACCCGCGCTGGGCTCTGTTAAAGCTCCCATGACTTTTGTTTCTGCTGCTGCCTCGTCTTTTCCTCAAAGCACCTCGCCGCATTTTGCCACAGCTACGAGGAGCGGGGAGCTGGCACCACGGTCCTGCAGGGGCTCATTAAAATGCTGCCAGCCTTAATGAGCTCGGGGGTTGTTCTCCTGGCTGGAAGCATCGTGTGGTTAATTAGGGAGCTCCCGGCTGTGCTTCGGTGAATGCCTACAGCTTAATTACTGTTTGTCTTTTGTTCTAATTACCTGTGACAGCGAGAATGGAAATGGAAACATTTTAATAGGGAATTAGTCCGGCTTATACCCTGGTGGGAACCAGCAGAGAGAGGAAAAGTGTCTTTGTAATTAAGCAGGGAGAGACGTGAGTCAAAGTTTGATTCATGTGCTGGCACAAGACAATTCTTATTCCAGACTCTCCTCCTGTTACTGCAATCCCCAGCAGTGCCAAAGGCTTTGTTTGCAAAGCCTTTCTCTGCTCTAATTAGCACTACCTTTACCTGCTGTACTAATTATACACAGAAACAGAAGGAATATTCGTCACCATTGCAAAAGGCTTTCAAGGCCTTTTTAATGATTGAAAGAAAAAAATCTTAATTAACAAAAAAGTCATATCTTTTACACTCTGATCCCCCTGTGCTCCAGTTTTCTCAGGACATGAATGAGATGGACAGGTGATAGAAATTTTCAGGCACAATTAGAATTAAAAATACTTAAACAATAAATTAGGAAAAACTGAATATCTACCTGGAGATCACAATGAGTCATGTCACTCAGATATCTGTACTGGGGCCTGTTGCAATACTACAAGGCTAATAGTTTTAAATTAAAGGACAGTAGATTAGCCACTTAGTTATTAGAATATATATCAGGAAGAAGATTAACATCTTAATTATTAGATTAGATATAAGAAATCAATTTTTTTGGATGAAGGTGTCAGAACAATTAAATGGGCTGCCCAGAGAGCTTTAGATGCCCCATCCCTGGAAACATTCAAGGCCAGGTTGGATGGGGCTCTGAGTAACTTGGTCTGGCAGAAGGTGTCCCTGCTCATTGCAAAGGGGCTGAATTAGATGATCAATTACTACCCAAATTATTTTAGGGCTACCCAAATTATGAGTGTTTCCAGTAGCTTGAGGGAGGTGATCCTTCCCCTCACCCCAGTACCAGTGAGCACCGTGGGCAGTTCTGAGCTCCCAGTAAAACAGACACAGATGTAGCAATGTATTTGAACAGCTTAGGCCACAGTGTGCCCCAGCAAAACCATTTTTAGTTATTCTTATCAGAACCCTCTGAAATTCATCAAGGTTACTGAAACATAAATCGTACTAAATTGAGAAAAAAGAAGCTGAGAAGCAGAATACCAAGACTGCAAAAACGAGATAAAGGAGGGCTGTGAAGCACTGGACTCTAACCAATCATATTTCCTAAAAGGTGGTGCAGATAAAGGCACCAATCAAATAATGTGTGATCCTGTGCACAGGAGTTTTAGAATGTATAAGTAGAGCATAATGTAAACAATTAAGTGACTTCTGCTTAATCACACTGGTTAATTGTCCAGAAATCCTGTGCTCCTGCACACAGACGTGCTGGGGAGAGTTGAACCAAGTGGCATGGAGATGGAGAGGGGACTGGAACATCTCTCCTATGGGCAACACCTGGTACAGCTGTGAGGTTTTACCCTGGAAAGAGCAGGTGGTGGTGGGCTGTTGTCCATGGATGTCAATCTCTGAGGGTTGGATATGAGTGGGAGGCACACAGGCTCTTTCCATGGTGGTGAGCAGTGACAGGACAAGAGCCAAAGGGCACAAACTGAAACAGGAGAGGCCCTGAGCATCAGCAAACAAACCATTCATCTGTGAGGGTGGCCGAGCACTGGTGCAGGTTGCCCAGGGAGGTTGAGGTGTCTCCATGCTCCAAAAACACCTGGAACTGGTCCTGAGCAGTTGGGGCTTTAGGTTGCCATGCTTGAGCAGGGGCATTGGACCAGACAACAACTGAAGGTCCCTTCAACCTCGACTATTTTGTGTGACTCCAGGGTAGTGTCAGTGTGCAGCAGAGTAGAAAACAGCTCCAATTCATTATCTGCATGCAAGGTTCCCCATCCATGGCTCACAGATCTGGTTTGCACACAGGGTCCTCAGGGTGGGAAAGGCTCAGCTGGTTTCAGCACCAAGGTTTGGGTGATACCACCAGAGCAGGAAAAGGAAGTGATGTTGAGCACGGATGTGGTGTTGAGCAGGGTGACCTCTGTGAGAACAGACATAGGGCTGCCTTCACATGCTCTGACACCAGACACAGACATTTCCAGAAGGCTTGACCATAAACCCACCTTGGACCAGGGTTAAGCCAATCAATGGTGGTGCCTTTCAAAAAAAAAATATTTGTAAAAAGGCAAAATGCTGCATGGCAGTGAAGAGTGAGGCAAAGCAAAGTGTGAGAAACAATGAGTTGCTCTCTGGTAGGTCAGCCCCCAGCCTGGTGTTTGGGGTTGTTCTTCCTCCAGGGCAGGACCCCACACCTGTCCTTGTAGAACCTCTTTAGGTTTCTCTCTGCCCAAATCTCTGGCCTGTCAAGGTCCCACTGAATGACAGAACAGCTTTCTGTGTACCACCCACTCCCTCCTTTTTTGCATCAGCAGCAAACTTGCTGAGGGTACATTCTATGCCTTCTTAGATAAATGATCAGAAATTTTTTTAAAAAGCCTAAAAGAAATGCAACTCTTCCTGGCACAAGTGATCAGGCTTATCTCTGCAGTACTGCTTTTGCCTCAGCCATATTTGACATTTTCTATCCCATCACCACACCACAAGGCCACCTCCTGGCCCATCCAGGTCAGCTGATCCAGTGGGAGAAAGTTTCCACTTCAACCCACAGGCATTTTACAGCGGTAAAGAAAATGCTTCAACTGAGCTTCAAGGACACTGAAGAGCACACAGGGTGTGAACAGGCTGGCCTTTAGTCTGTCTAAGCATCCTAAGAGGGTTTCAAGCTGGTACTAGAAACCCACATGGTCTTCCCTTGCAGGTGGAGCTGCCTCTGTTCCTGACAGGCTGGATAAATGTTCTGTACAGGCTGCTGCATCAACCTGCTGGCTTGACTGCAAGAGGCTGATGGAGACAAGGGGAGCACTTGCAGCATTTGGGGACTGAGACCTGTGCTGCACTGTCCCTACAACCTCAGCTTCTCCCAAAGAGTGTCATCTCCTCATTCTCACACTCAGGGTTTGCATCCAGTTCCCAAGAAGGCTGCAGACACAAGCAAGTCTGAAGATGCTTTTATTGATGGCCAGAAAGCAGAGCTGAAGCAGCAATGGGACAAAGGGAACAATGGGAAAGCTGTGTGTACTTGGGACCTGCATTTTCACTTTGCCACAGAGACTCTCCTTACTGCAAAAGCCCGTGCCTGCACCACCGGGGCTGCTCTGACCCCAGTTCAGCTGCCCCGGCAGCTTCTGAGCACCAGCAGGTGTTTGATGCGTTGTGGAGAAGGGGCACTGAGCATTTTAGTCAGAGGATGGAGAGCCAGGCAGCTCTTGGAGTGCAAACTTCCTCAGCTCCTTACGTATCCAGGGCTCAAAATACGAGATTCTGGTAAATACTGCAGGGAGGATGCTGCGTTGAGGTCCATAAGAAACAATGCCATGAGCCTTACGATTGCAGACTAATGGGCCGCCAGAATCACCCTGTGGCATGAAAGGAGTGAGAGGGGTCAGACATGCCTCAAGGAACAAGTTTCCTCTTCCCTCCCTCCATGGGAAGAGCCTCCTGTTCCAACCACCTCCCCCCTCTGGACCCAGCTCTGCAGGGTTTGCCTCACTACTCCTCTAAATCCACCCAAACCATTCAGGCCTGGGGGCTCTTTGAGATTCAAAAGCTCAAAAAGAACAAAGATTTACTTTAGACATGGGGAAATATCTAAGCCATCCTAGTAAGGGTGTCACAAAGATTTTACACACTGAAGCACTGCCTAGGCTGGGTAGAACATCCCCAAGTAATTCAAACAGCAAATGACGTTGATAATTAGGAAAATGCACCTCAATTCAGGGAGCACATCTGCTTCAGAGCTTCAGTTCATCATTCTGAAGGTCCTGCTTCATTCTGGTGTCCTTTTACTCTCACTTCAGAACCAAGCTGACTGTTCAGCCCCACCCTCCTCCCAAGCTTGCATCCCAAAAGAACACTTACATGGAAAGGTGCCTTTTCACTGTCCTCATCAGCCACACAGATCATGGACTGAGGCTGGTATTTACATTTGAATTGCTGCTGACATATGTCCTCGGTTTGCACCTCCTGTTCCACCTCCATCATCACATTACTGGAGGGCCCTTCCACAGATGTCCAGCCCCAGCCAGCCACCTTACATTTAGTTCCTTCTCTCACACGTTCCCTGCTGCTGGGGATGGAGATAAATTTCACATTCTCATTGATCCTGGCCCTTGGCTTCAGCTGTCAGGCAGAGAGAATATGAGGTTAGAGCCAGCCAAGGATTAGGAACACGTTCAGAGTTTGGGGAGGTGAGCAGGGGGAGACCCCTGAGGCAGGAAGGATGTGTTGGGCCGTACCTTCAGCAGCACAATGTCATTTTTCAAGTCACCAGGGGAATACTTGGGATGGATGACCCAGTCTCTAACATGGATCCTCTGCTGGCTCCGTTCTCGGACACGGACGTTGTGGGCTCCCAGGGTCACAGTGACCCTCACTCTCCTGCCAGGAAACACCAACACGTTCCAGCTGCATTGGCCACACAACGCAGCCCCCAGTGCAGGGCGCTGGAGGGAGCTGGTGCTGGGATAAACCTCCCCAGAGAGCAGCTGTCAGCAAGCTGTCCTCTGGACCCTGGGCTCCTGCCAGAGCCCAGCTGAGCATCCCTCAGCCCACACTCACACAGCACAGGGGCAGCTGCCCCGTGCTGAAGGCAAAGGGAAGCAGGGGAGGGGAGACACTGGACCCTCTTGTCCAGCAGTAGCTCTAAGCCATGGCAGGATCCATGACCCTGGGGAGCACTGTGAGCATTCCTGTCCCCAAGGACACTCAGCCCCTGGCAGACAATTCCTGCAACTCACAGGGGATTGCTCAGCTCCAGAGATCCCTGCTCTGCCTGAAGAGGCACAGGGTGCTGTTTATGCCCAGACCAGGGCTGAGGTCCTTCAGGATTATGTGAGATAGGAAAAAAATCACCTGTACAAGAAAGAAAGGATCTTACCCTTCTTTAGCCACACAGTGAGCTGCTGAGAGCACTGCATCTGGGCGAATCAGGAACCCTCCACAGTTATAAGTCTTTGGGACAGACTGATTTGAAACTTGGATTTCTAAAAAAGCCATGTAGGGTCTGGAGTGGCGTTTAACTTCCTTCCCACCAATGATCCTTCCTGGAAGAGAGATGGGAAATGTTAATATGGTGTGTGCTGCTATTTCCTGTCGAGTTTGGGTCTGCATGAAGGGAGAGGCTCATCCTCTGATGTCATGTGCCAGTGATCCCAGCAACTCTCCTTGCTGGGATCCAAAGCATTGCTGGTGCAATGGAGAGAAAGACAAGCAGCACTGTGTGGGGTGACTGACCACCCCTGGCTCTGGATGAGCAAAATGTCAGCAAAGGGCACAGCTCTAGTGCCTGGAATGCCTCACTGGTTTCAGGCACACCCCGAGCTGAGAGATAGGAGGAGAGAGGAAAGCAGGAGAGTAGAGATAGCAGAGAAGGCAGAGCAGGAACCTTGCCTGAGATTGACTACTCAGTGTCCATCTGTGCCCTTGCATGCTCTTGTCTAGGTCCCCTCTCTGTGTACTCACCAGCCCCAGCCCAGGGCAGGACAAAAGCACTTGAGATCAGAAGGAGAAGCAGCATCTTCTTCCACTGTCCTGATGAACCAAACCAGCTGCTCTGGCCAGGCAGGGGACAGGTACAGAATGGCAACCTTTATAAATGGTGTGTGGAGCTGAAACAGGAAACCTCAGCCTGCCTGCATCTGTGTCATTTGCTGCTTTCATCTCACAGCTCTGGACTGTGGCTTGGAGAGTGGTTCATGACATTCTCTGCGTTTTTGTCACAATCTTCTCAAAGAGCTGGAGAGGCCTGGGCTAGTCCAGAGCACTCAGAGTGCACAGGGAGAGCAATGGGGCCTCTGCTGAGTGCAAATCCCATCAGAGACCTTTGCAGAGAGACCCTGGCACCCTGCATGGGGGCTGGTTCTGTCCAGACTGGTTTTGTTTTTTGTTTTTTGTTTCCCCCTCTCCTCTGATAGGAATGGGGAGAGCTGGCCAGGGCCAGGCAAAGATCCTGGCTCTTCTCAGAGGGGCTGAGTGCCATCAGAGATGTCCTTGGGAAGTCAGAAATCACCAGTCAGAGCAGCTAAGGGACAAGGCCAGTGGGAGCCTCACAGCCTCAAGCACTGGTGTTGTAGATGATGTGGCTGGTCCAAGGTGATGGAAAAGGCTGAGGGGCAGCTGGGAAGGCAGAATGTGGGCCCAGGTCCAGATGGGCAGGTGGCCTGGCCAGGAGGAGCAGGGTCAGTGTGTGCAGGACAAGGGGAGAGCCCTGCCTGAGCCCTCTGAGCCCTCCCTGGCAGCTCTGGCTCCAGGGCTACAATCTCAAGGGGCTCAGCCCCTGTTTCCCTGCCCCTCCTTGGCCATGGGCCCAGCCAGTGAAACCTGCAGGATGTTCCCAATTTCACGTGGCTTTGGCCTCGAGAAAGCCCACAAATCAATCCTTCAGAGCATGCTGGCCCTTGCCCTGTGCTGTGACAAGGCAAGGGAGTGTAGGTGGTGTATGGGGATCCTCCTGACACCTGTGTGCTGGAAGGGATGAGGGTGGGAAGGAGGAATTCCCATTAAAGCTTGCAGAGCAGAGCAATCCTCCAGAGCCAGAGCGTGACTGGCTGTCCTGGTTTAGGGCAAATTTGGGAGAAAAGTTTTGAATGGGGTTCCTCTAGGAAACAGATTCAAGCAGTCCCTCCCAGAACTGGTTTGGGGACATATTTCTTCAGAGAGAAGTGGGAAAAAAAACCCTATTTTTTTAACAGGCAAAACACTTCCCAGCACAAAAATGAATAATTTTAAGTGATAAAACCTCTTGCTGTTTGGAGGAGATGACAAATTCAGAAGAATTTGTGGTTTCAGCCCAGCTCACTCAGTTTGTTCTCAGTCCCTCCAGAGCTGGGAAACGTCACAGCCCAGGCCAGCCCTGGTGGGACACAGGTGTGAGCTCCTGCTGCTGCTCTGGGTTTTCAGACCAGAGCAGGTTCAAACCATTCCAAGAAAAAGGAAAAAAACCAAAACCCTACGGTCTAGGTGTAAGAGCCATAACGAGAGATGAGGGACTTCAAATGCTGCTTATTGTTTAAATGATACAGTAATTCACAGTTTGTGGGTGACAAGAGCCCAGCCCACAGCCTTTTCAACCACAGCTGTGGGTTTGTCTGAAGCCACTCTAGTTCTGGTTACAATGCATTATAAACTTTTCATTGCAGAGCATCTTAATAAATAACAACCAATCAATACCTTTACTATAACCTATAGCCTATCCTAACTACCAACACTACCATAGTCATGTTACTATTTTCCATTCACAAAAAGTTGGTATGTTACACTTTAAGCTAGAAGTTGTTTTTCAGTTTTCTTGCAGTGGAAAATTCTGAGACCTATTTTTCTACTTGCAACATTGGCTTTCTTGTTTGCCTGTAGAATCATTTTGCCCTGTAACAATCTTTCTTTTCACTGCTTTAACCGAGAAACCCAGGCCAACATCCCCAGCAGGGACATGAACCTGTTCAGTATTCCAGGTGAGGGCACAGCCATACAGCATTGCTTTCCTATTTCCCAGGAATATCTTTATTATCTTGAATATCTTGAATATCGTGCATTTGTAGCATATTACCTTATGTACTTAGGCTGCTTCTGTTATTTTAATGTCTTAAAAAAGTAAATCTTACAATGAATGAGGGAAAGTCATGGCCTCTGTCCTGAGACTCAGCACATAATCATGGTGAATCATTTCTCATAATGCTAAATGATGATTTGATTAATGATTTGTGTGTTCTTCACCAAAGCTCTGATTTTATATTAGAAAACTTTAGAAACATAAATATTAGATAGATTATCAATGAGTACTCTCAGGTGAACACAGAAGGCCATTCTCATTTACCAAAGGCAGAATCAGGCCTTCAAGGGACAATTTCAGAAGTAGTGGGAGATCTGGAAAATTCACATGAATTCCATCCTTAGTGTTTTTTCCTCTCTGCTGACCACACGGGGGGATTGGCTCAGAGGATCACCAGTATTTGCATGCCATCAATGGCTGCAGAAGGGAAATCTCTGTTTGCTAACCTCTCTTGTATGGATAAGAAACAAATTCTGTGAAATTAAAAGATTGAGTCATTGAGTGAAGAAACTTCATTTCCCCCCTCACTTCAATCTCCTATTTGCTATTGATCCCTTTGCCTTTGGTGTAAATTTGGTCTTCATTCTCTGGTTCTCTTATCAGTCTTTTCCCAGACCAGATCTCTCTGACCACATCTGGGTGATGCTGCTCAGAGCTCTGTTTAGGTTGGTACTAGGTACAGATTTAATTTGTGCAATTCCAATCAAGTCTGATTTTTTTTCTTACTGTAATTGATAGGAAAAGAGGAAGGAAGGAAGGAAGGAAGGAAGGAAGGAAGGAAGGAAGGAAGGAAGGAAGGAAGGAAG